CAACATTAATCACAAACTGCCTGAGGTTAGAGAACCATTTGAAACTAGGGAGTACCGGATGAAAAAGGATAAGCAGCATGGAACTCTGGCACACAGAGGACCAACTAAGAATCTGTCATCCGGATGAGAAGCGAGCAAGAGTTTGGGGGTTGGTCTGATTCTGACAGGCGAATGAATGCTTATAGGCCGTAGTGAATGAAGTCAGCTAAAAATAAGAATGCAGTGAGGTGCGTGAAACGAAGAGATATGCTGTTGAATTCCTGTTCCGTGACTGAAACCCGTGGAAATAATGATAATAATAAAAATCATTTCCAAATGCACGTACATTATCAGTCCCAATCTCTGTGATCATTGGTGTGAACTGGATTATGCGTCAGACAGTGAGTGGGAAACGAGAAGACAGGGATACCCTGGACAGACAGACGTAAAGAACCTAGAAGACCTGAATTTCGCGCGTGGATGACTTCTGTTTGATATCATACAAGATTGAAAACTTACAAGCGAAAACCGACGGACAAACTACTGGTCGAAGAAGCTGCCAGCGAAGACAGGACTCCAGGTGAACATAGACAAGACGGAGGTTATGAAAATAACCAACCAACCAACAACAACAACAGCAACATTCAGCGCCGATCACCACCAACGGGGGGATTTGAAAGAGGTTACTTCATTCACTTATCATCTAGGGAGCATTGTTTCAACTACAGGAGGAGGAACGGACGAAGATGTCAAATCGAGCGAGGATCGGAAAGGCGAGAAATACATGTGGTGGACCTTAGACTCTCTTGGCTTAGTATCCCAAATTCAAATAGGGAATAAAATACCAAATCAGCTAAGTTACTGGAAGAATATATTAAAGTTTTGTTACTTAGGTATTTACAAGGTCCAAAATCCACAATTAACGTAATAGACTCCAGAGGTATTGCGAGAAGACTGCTCCAATACTAATTCTCCAATGCTGATGTTGCCAGAGGTCGACCAAAGTTTGTAGAAAGAAACTACGGTGCTCCTGCGAAAATTTGAGATAGAAAGCAGGTGGTTACAACTGATCGATGGCAGTTGAGATGGTGGAGAAGACGGAGAGTCGAAGGCAGAATTATATTTCTATTCCAACACGATGTAAACTTCAAAGTACAGAGATTATGATTAAAACAAAGTAATGTACAATATCTTCATTTCTTACATCGTATTAAACATTGGATAAGTTTATTTTTGAGGACTCCACAAACGTTCATCAACCTGAAACCAATCTAAGAAAATCTTCGTCATTAAACTCAGTATCAACAACGAAAAAATCCAGTCGGATTTTCAATACAAACAACATCAAGTCAGTCAATTCTTCAATACGGATCAGAAACTTCGCGGGGTGGGAGTCACAAAGAATACTTCCAACAGGCTAACTCAGACCATTATCAACCAACAACTGTCTTCGATGGCTCTATACTGAAGATCAGATGGCCGGGCTGGAAAGAATCACCAACAACAAGAAACTATGGGAGGAAACCGACAGACGAGAGCCGACCGCCCAACAAATATGCATGCGAAAGTCGAGAAAGATGGATTGGACAATCAGTGGGGAGGCTGCCTCTGGGTGACATTGTGCGCGAGCCAGGCCATTGCTCGAGTGGAACCAGACCGAAAGAGAAGCGACGAGTGGGTCGTCATTGCGAGGGTGACACGGAGGAGATCGTCTGAAGAGGAGTTGAAACAGTGTGGACTAACATGGATGTAGGTGAAAAGTACAGCAGAAGCAAGACAGAAACAAGCAAGTGTAGACGTGGAGTTGAAGCCCTATGTTCCACTAGGAACCCAAGGGAACAATAATGATAATATCTTTGTGATCATATTGTAATCACAGAAGACAAGGGCCAGGCAACAGATCGTTTATTGGGAAAATCAAAAGATTTTTAAAGATTTTTATGTACATTATTTTTCGTTATTGTTAGCATAGACGCAATGTCTTCTGATGGGTTGTTTTGCTGCTGAAGGTTATTCTATTATCTCTTCGTAGCCATTTCTTAGACAGTCCGGTCATATATCTGCGAATCGTATCTGCCAACGATAAGTCTACTGTGACTGGTTGTTGAGTTCCTGAGTGTTTGTTTTCTCATGACTAAGATTTGCGGCGTAAACATTGATGTAAACTACTGTCTACCAGTTTTGGCTAACAGAGACAGCTCTCACCACAATATTAGAAACTTTGCGATTCATCACTGTATGAATCACCTGAGGATTTCAGATGCATACTTTGAATTACATATCCTGAGTCCGCAAACCTAGTCCGAAAAGTTCGTTATAAACAAACTTTCTCCAGAGGATTGAATAAAGTGGGATTCTTTTCAATGAACTCATAAAAAGTAGATGCACAGATTTGTAAAAAAAAGAACGAATCAATACTAAATATGTCTTTAGTAAGAATAGTAATCAATAGCGTAAGCATAGCTAAATAAAACTAAACTATGTACTGCCTATTAACTGACCTGAATGCATAGTTGGATACTATACTCACATCATTCAGTATTATTTGATGGATAACCAGATTGAATTTACCTCAACACCTGATAGTACTTTCGCTCGTTTCGAATCGGACTCATCAACGGTATATTCTGGTCTAACAGATCTTACAGTTAAAGCGTCTTTAACTGTGTGTATATGCGCGTTTGACAAATTCGCAATTAATTAATTTTCCAATTAACCCTATGGGTGCCTACTGAAGATGATTCGCAAACAAGGACAAAACAACTCTCCAGTACTCCCGGCAGGTCTTCCAATGGACCGCTAACTGATATCAGCTCATGATGATGAAATTCTCCAACCAGTTGAATAAAAATTCCCTTACAAAAGACAATACTTGAAAATTAATTCTGATGCTCACCTGAGACTTGCCCTATTCATTGAACAGTAAGATACAGGGGGTTGAAGGTGAGGCAGTAACTCATCACCAAAGAAGGCATTGTGAAGTGGTCGCACCATGTCATGAATCGGCAGAAATTAGAATTCATGGACAGGCCATTGAATCATGTCGCAGTGAGTGGCTGATGAATGATCTACGAGCTCGCTAGCCTTGTAACCAGAAGGCCCCGGGTTCGAACCCTGATGGGTGTATATTGATAGATAGAGTTGTAAACTATGCTGACGAAACCGTTGGCTGTCCAGTAGGTGCTCTCTGGATGGTTTTCCAATGGTTCTCTAACTGAAGTCAGCTAACTGATGAAATCCTCCAACAAATTACGAATTTTATTCCATTTAAAACAGGTTCACTCAGATATTATCATTATTGTTCAACTCCACGTCTACACTTGCTTGCTTCTGTCTTGCTTCTGCTGTACTTTTCACCTGCATCCATGTTAGTCCACACTGTTTCAACTCCTCTTCAGACGATCTCCTCCGTGTCACCCTCGCAATGACGACCCACTCGTCGCTTCTCTTTCAGTCTGGTTCCACTCGAGCAATGGCCTGGCTCGCGCACAATGTCACCCAACGGCGGCCTCCCCAATGATTGTCCAATCCATCTTTCTCGACTTTCTCCTGCATATTTGTTGGGCGGTCGGCTCTCGTCTGTCGGTTTCTTCCCATAGTTTCTTGTTGTTGGTGATTCTTTCCAGCCCGGCCATCTGATCTTCAGTATAGAGCCATCGAAGACAGTTGTTGGTTGATAATGGTCTGAGTTAGCCTGTTGGAAGTATTCTTTGTGACTCCCACCCCGAGAAGTTTCTGATCCGTATAGAAGAATTGACTGACTTGATGTTGTTTGTATTGAAAATCCGACTGGATTTTTTCGTTGTTGATACTGAGTTGAGTGACGAAGATTTCCAAATTGGTTTCAGGTTGATGAGTGAATGTGTTTCTTGCCTTCATGATTCTCGCTCGAGTTGACATCCTCGTCCGTTCCTCCTCCTGTAGTTGAAACAATGCTCCCTAGATAAGGATTGAAGTAACCTATTTCAAATCCCTCCTATTGATGGTTATTGGCTCTGAATGTTGCTGGTGTTGTTGTATTTGGTTGGTTGGTTGGTTATTTTCATAACCTCCGTCTTGTCTATGTTCACCTGGAGTCCTGTCTTCGCTGGCAGCTTCTTCGACCAGTAGTTTGTCCGTCGGTTTTCGCTTGTAGGTCTTCGATCTTGTGACAATGACGTCAAACTCACTCAAGTAGCTCTCCTGAAATAGAATGGTTTTAACCAATTCGGCTCTCTTTGGGCTGAATCAAGCCGGTCAACCTGCTGATAAACTCGAAGTGACCCAAGTAAGGGAAACAAATATACCCCTTGTTTAGATATCACTCCGACCTGGCTTGTTAGCGAACCCTACTCATATCAATAAGTCGGTAATATATAGCAACATCTATTCTCCATCAGTCCTGTTCTTCATACTTTTTGACTTTAATTTACATCGTACCTCGATGATTATTTCTATATTTTTTGGTTCTCAGAAAAGCCCTGATATAACTTCTCGATCTACCTCCCCTCCTCTTCGATTTTTCACTCTCTCTCTCTCTCTCTCTCTGGCTTAACGGATGTCATTACTTTAGGCACACAAAAAACGAGTACCGTTCGCTTTCTAAGCATGACAATAAATCACTCAGCCAGGTATTTATTTACCTTCTCACTATTGTAACAATTTTACAACACACAATGAGATGATGAACACCATAGCAAAAAGATCTGGTGCTTCAATAGTATTGACTGAAACAAAATTGATTAGTCTTTTTTTGTTGTTGTTGTACCGTTGTGGTTCTCATTTGAAAAATTGTTAATTTAGTGTTAGAGAAATCAAGATGCTGTGTACATTTACACAATGGCAAAGCATAGCAAAGCAAAGCTAAGCAAAAAAAAAATAACACAGCATCGTGAAACTAAAATAAAACGGAGAGAAGAAACTCAGCTTTATTTACTTAGAGCATTTCGTTTAGTGCGTATAACATATGTGTGTGCATGTGTGCTAATGCCTGTGTCTATTTAAACAAAAGTCAGTTGATTCACTTCTCATATCTCTTCAGTGTTGGTACAGTCTCTTTCGGGCTTCAGTTTCTTTACCAAGACTGGGGGGAGGGGAAGGTGTATTTTACTCCCCTTGATCTATCTGTCTGTTTATCTCTCTGTCTGTCTGTCTGTCTACAAGTCTACTAACACTGCGAATTTCTGCGGATCTATTCGATAACTCGCATATTTTTCAACATTTCAAAAAATTACATATTCCCTTTACATTCTATTGATTGATTAGAGCACTAACTGTGTGCTTGTGTCTGTGTCTGTGTATCTGTGAGTTAAGACAGCCAGAAAAGAGGAGCACAGTTTAAACACTCTATCGAAATTGCAATTAATTAATTAAAAAACATAAAAATATGCAAACTGATGGTAGTGGTCATGCTGATGTCGGCGGCGGCGGCATTTCAGTACAGATTCGTCGAATTTTTCCAAGATGGTTTTCAAAATTCATTATTGGATTATACATGGCAACACCATCTTTATTCGACAAAGTATCACCAATGCTGTTGAGATCATTTCTATCCGGAAATTTTGAAAATGTTTTCTCTCTGATAATTGATTTTTTCATGTAAGTTGGTTCTGGGTCCTTTTTTTCTAATTTACTTGCGTCATGGTGTCTGTTGGCATCTCTCTTGATGTGACGATGCAGTTAATGGAAATTCCAACAAGTTGATTACAGTTGGTTTGGTTTTTTTTCCATATTCATGAGATATTTAATAGGGCCCCAGTGACTGAATGGTGTACGAGCTCCATTTCCTTGTAACCGGAAGGTCCTGGGTTCGAACCCTAGCAGTTATCTTCATCAGTTGGTCAATCTATCAACGGACAAACGAACCCGTGCTGAGGAACAACGATTAAGTTGTTATATACAAGCTGAGATTTTGTAAACTCTGGTTTATTAATACTACTTTGATAAAGCTATTAGCAGAGGCATTAAATATCGAAACGTGAGTTAAAACGATATTTTTGATAGAGAAAGAAAAACCAGATTTGCCATATAAAATGATATCATCATTCTATTTCACAGGTTCGCACCAGCTAGCTGCAAACCACCTGAAATTACAATGTTTATAAATAATACTAACACTTCATACTTCATTGTTTGAAAGGTAATAGAGGAAACATTATAAGGTGAACGCATCATCGATTTACATACTATCAAACTATGAAAATGAAGAAAAAGGGGGGGGGAGATGAGAGAAGACAGAAAACAGAAAAATCTAATAAACAGTGTCAACATGTCAACTCAAGAAGGTCAAAGTTCATCAATTTGAAACCTTGCTTAGTGAGTTGAGCTCACTGGTATGTATGACTAATCAGTGTAATGAAAGTAATACGGTTACCAAGGGAGTGAGAAATCGACTACACTCTCTTCGTCTGTGTTCATATGTTTGGTCTGAGACGTTTGATTGCACTTGCGGATACGGGTCATTTTGTCGAGATTTCAAAATCCTTCAAAATATTAAACATACAAAGGACAGCGAATCTACTACGATTTGCTGCTGAAGCAATTGCACTCAAACGTCTCAGACCAAACATATACACACAGAAAGAGAGTAAGGTCAATCTCTCACTCCCTTGGTAACCGTATTACTTTCATTACACTGATTAGTCACACACACACTAGTGGGTTCAACTCACTAAGTAAGTTTTCAAATGTGAATGAACTTTGACCTTCTTGAGTTGCCATGTTGACACTGTTTACTAGATTTTTCTGTTTTCTGTCTTCTCTCACCCCTCTTTTTTCTTTTTTCATAGTTTGATAGTATATAAATCGATGGTAACTTAAACTATAAATTGCAATACTTATATTCCAGATGCGTTCACCTTATAATGTTTTCTCTATTACCTTTCAAACAATGAAGTATGAAATGTTAGTATTATTTATAACCATTGTAATTTCAGGCAGTTTGCAGTTAGCTGATGAGAACCTGTGAAATAGAATGATGATATCATTTTGTACTACAAAACTAATCCTTACAAACCAACTATAGAAAACATATGAAATAAGTTTATTTTGTATAATACACAGTGATATTTTTTTTCATTCACGTTCCCCAGTGGAACATAGGGCTTCAAGCTAGAGAGGCTTGAAGTTTCTGTAGCAGTGTTTATTTTACAGAATGGGGTTGCTAGCCTCATGCCCAATCTTTCCTCTTTACCAGCATTATTTCTCACTCAGCGAGGTAAAGGAATGCGTCAGTGGCCGGGGATCGAACCCCGGACCATGTGCATGGTCGGTGAGCATCCAAACCGCTATACCACCGACGCATATAATACACACAGTGATATAATATTGATAATTGGTTGATGTATTGAATCAGTGTTCCACGTAAAATGGTGTCAAATATTTAGATTCCAACTCATATATTTGGAGATGAGCACGGGTGTTTGCACAGAAAACACACACACATTCAAACCGATATCTGGAATCTTGGCTCATCCTACCCTATATCAGTAAAGGCTTAAGTAATGCGCCAAAATGAAAATTAAGTGCTACCGAGGGGAAAATTAGGGTAGGAAGAATTCGAATCTCAGAAGGGACATGAGTTCCTTCAAGGTTGCAGATACGCCAAGCTGACTGACTGGTGAGTGCCAACTAACACGAAACCTAGGTCCTGGTAAGGCTTCCTGTAGCCGATTGTCCCCAACTATCTAATATATCATCAAATCAATGTGCACCGTGATGGCGAGCTACCTAGAATAGTGGCCACATTACAAACCTGACTGGCAGGATTCAGTCTGCACCAAGGACAGGACTTGTCACATCACACCAGTTACTAGTGTCCAATTAAAAGCATATATGTAGTAGATATATGCCTTAATACAATAATGAAGTCATTGAAATAGCTTAGTGGCACTGGACTGTTTCTTTCTTCCTGATGATACAGTAATGCGGAGTTTCCCTCTTGCTCCACCCTCATAGCTTACACATGTAGATCCGTCGTGTTTTGTGCTTTGTTTCTTTCCAATTTTCAAGTATTGGTTTTTTTTTTAGGAATTTTGTTTCATTGCATGGAGGATTTCATCATGAGTTAACATCAGTTAGAAAACCATTGGAAAACCTGCAGGTACTACTGGAGAGCTGTTTCGTCCAGCCAGTTTGGGACTCTTCATCAGTACACTCCCACCGATAGGGTTCGAACCCAGGACCCTCTGGTTACAAGGCGAGCTATCTCGTCGACCATTGAGCCACTGAGACCCAATCCAATGGTCCTTGAATTCTCGAACTTCTGCCAACTCACGACATAGCGCTACCGTTTCGCAATATCTTCTTCGATGAGTTACTGCCTCATCTTCGGCCTGCTGTACCCTTCTGTTCATAGCGTACTGGGTGTGTACTGATGAAGACTCCCAAACAAGTTCGATGAAACAGCTGTCTAGTACTCTCAAGTTTTCCATGGTTCTCTAACTGATATCAGTTCATAATGAAATCCTCCATGCAATCTTTTTGCATTTCTTTGAATTTTGAGTGAAACATTAACCTTCAAACTTGAAGGTTTGAGGTTCCAGTAGCTGTGGTGTTGTTCTTTTAAAGGGTGTGAGTTTGCTAGTCTGACGCTCAACAAAACCCTTCATCTAAGGTCACTACTAACTAAATGCAGTTGAGGAATGCCTCACCTGAGAACGGAATCCTGAATCACTCGCATTGGTTGGCAAAGGGGATTCTAACACACTGAAACACCAAAGCACTTAGTTTTTTTGTGTATAGTGTGCATAAATATTAATTAATATGGTCAGATTCCTAAAATTTTACAGGATAATTTATCATTTTTGTTGTTAAAAAAGCTGAGAAGTGAACTGGTCTGGACCTCAAATATATCATCAGAAATAAAACAAATGCATGTGTAGATTTTAATGATCTTGCTAAAAACGTTTTGGTATTCACTAAAGACAAATGTGTCATTTTCAGGCGTTCATTGTAGGAATTTGATCGATTTCAGGGCAAACCACGAGATTACATCAGTTTGAGAATCCATGAATACTAAAGACTGATGGAGAGGTGATTCTTCAGGCTGAAGCCAGCCAACGAAGGTGGCAGCTGTTGATGAAAGTATGCACTGGCCTGTTGGAAATGCTTTCCGTGCCACGCAGCACAAGTTTCTCACCTGTGTTGAAAATCCGGATTTCATTCCCTATGCTGAGGTGGCGCAGCGGTTGAGATGCTCGCCGACCATGCACATGGTCCGGGGTTCGATCCCCGGCCGACGCACTCCTTCGCCTCGCTAAGCCAGAAATAATGCTGGTAAATGTTGGGCATGGGGTAGCAATCCCATCCTGTTAAAATAAACACTGCTACAGAAACTTCAAGCCACTAGCTTGGAGCCCTATATTCTACTGGGAACGTGAAGGAAAAAGAAGAGTAATACCAACACCTAGATCATGCGACAGCTCCTTGGTAGTGGGAAACCAAATACACTTTAGACCCATCAGAGAAGATTTAAGACTCTTTTCTCTCAAACTCAAAAGGCTGACAAGCGGAATCCAACAACGTGTCATAGGAAGAAGCAAAGAAGACAGGAGCTTACGTTAACATCGATCACTTACAGTGAAGAATACTTAGAAGAAGTTGTTCCTATTACTTATCTGACTGAGACAGTATGTTTGCTTTACTGTGCTTCGGTAGCACAGCGGTTAGGACTCTCGCCGACCATGCATATGCTCCAGGGTTCGGTTGCCTACTGACGCACACCTGATATCAGTGGTTGGCCTGCAAAATTTTGGGCTACCAATATCACATGCTGAAAATCCCATACTTGTGTCAAAAATACTGTGTCCGTTTTCAAGCTATAATCAAAAAAGAAAAGAAAGTCGGCATAGATGAAATTGGTGTTGAAACCTAAAACTGTCAGCATAAAGAATACGATTCGGATTTATAAGACTAATATTCACGTCAGTCAGTGCCTCTGTATGGTTCAGAGATTTCACGCACGTGTCACTATAAGCCTTTCCAACAAGCTACAACAGAAAGAAGTCTTTAGTGCTTCAGTAATGAAGATCAGACTGTAGGCTGACCAGAAGTAAGGAACAAGGCGCTCTGATAGGCAGCAAACAAGGCTGCAATGTAATACTCAAACACTAGACAGGTAGGTCATCGAGTGCTGAAGCCGAATGAGAAGCGATAAATCGACTTTGGTGACCAGAGTGACACAGAGAAAATCATGTAAAGCAGAAGTGCAAGGTCGTCAAACATCATGAAACCACCTAAAACAGATGACAGATAAACACGTGGAATGGCGTATATCTTGCTGAATATACAAACATGGATGATTTGTCTGTTACAAGTCGCTAATCATAAATATATCAAGTATTGAATTGGTGGATGGTGACTAGCCGTGGAATCCAGTCAGGATGCGCATTTCGTCCTATTTGGGACTCGTCAGCTAGATGTACCTGCATTTCTCAGTGAGTGATGATGTTCACATTGAGGCTTGAACCCAGTACCCTCGGTAGGAACATCATCACACACTGAGAAATGCAGGTACATCCAGCTGAAGAGTCCCAAATAGGATGAAATGCCCATCCTGGATTCCACTGTTAATCACCATCCACCAATTAAATACTAAC